CTATTAGTAACTATAATTGTGTTCAAAGTTACATCACAGTGACTACATGTGTATTTACTGCGATGTAACTTTGAACACAATTATAATAAATATAATTGTTACCAAATCATATTTTTGTCCACCACTTCTCTAAAAGTAATATTAGTGAAAACTTTGGATATAAAATCATAATTTCTGCATGTGATATTATGTAATATTACATAGACATAACAAATAATAGCAGAAAAATTGAAAAAATAGCTAAAAAACTAAAACGCCTTTTCACGCCTACGCTTCGCCTAAACCCGCCTAGGCTTCAAAGGCTTCGGGCTCGGCAGTGCCGCCTCGGCACGCCTTACGTCTTTTAGAACATTGGTTGAGTATGACAAAAGGACCAGATTAGGAAAATAATTAGACAATTTGTATAGATTAATTCCACACGCGCAAAAGGACCAGATTTTTTTTTGATTGGACAGGTAGATTAAATTTGGAGAGTACATATTTATGGAATCAAATAGTTAAGAAATATTTGCATGATACTTTACATATCATTTTGGTACCGGATAGAATATGGAAAGTTCCGTTTTATTTTCTTGTTTATGGATTATTATTTATTATTGTGATAAGTTGATGATAAAACTGCCTAATACTACTGCTATTCTATACCTCCCTCCTTATGTCTTCCTTTGACGAACCGCCGGCCGCCCCCGCCGATCACCGGGACTCTTTTCACTGGCACTACGCCGCTTTCGACGACAACTACCGCATCAGCCGCCAGTCCCTCTTCTTCTTCGTCGCCATCTTCGCCCTCCTCCTCGTGCTATTCGTCTTCGCCCTCTATCTGCGCTGGGTCTGCCGGTTCCGGGCGGAGCGTGGTCCCCACGCGCCGCCGCACGCGGCGGCGGAGACTCAACTCGGGCTTCAAGCCGCCGTGATCGATAGCTACCCCATAGTTCTGCACGCAGCTGGAAGCGGCGGAGACGCCGAGTGTTGCATCTGCCTTTCGGGCTTTCAGGAAGGGGAGAAGGTGAAGGTGTTGCCGGCGTGCCGGCACCGGTTCCACGCCGTCTGCGTCGATAAGTGGCTGAGAACTCATTCCAGTTGCCCTCTCTGCCGGGTTTCTCTCCGATTTGACTCAGCCGTATGAATTGTTATTACAGCAGCCTCTCGCTTCAGTGTGCTGCTCTGTTTTTGCTTTGGCTCTGTGCAGGTGGCTGTTTTGTTTTGTCTTAGTTTTGTTTTATTCAACAGTTCATATTTTTAATACTACCTCTGTTTTTAATAGATAATATTATTATGCTCTATGAATATACTTTTGAAAAAATCACACTGTATTAAATTTTTCAACAGTCATATTTTTAATACTACCTCTTTTATTAAATTTTTCTCATTTTAAATTTTCAAATCTGTTTTTTATTTTTTAGAGACCGTTTGGTAGACATGTTTTTCGGCTTATGAGACGTATCAGTCAACTTTTGATTGATAATAATAATAAATATGTAACTTTTGATTTCACGCGATGAATTGTGTAATAATAATAAAAAGTAAGGTTGAAATTACTTTTCTGGTTGTATTGGCTGAAGTTATTGTAGAAGACCATTTTAGCTATTTTTACATACGTAGTACATGGTATAATTTTTTCTTTATTTTATTAATAAAATATATTTTAATTTTTTTTCTTATATCATCAGAATCGGCCACTTCAGCCAGAACTTCATAAATTTCAGCAAAATCGGTTGATTCAATCACGTACAATACATGCTCTTAGTATTAAGGAATGAAATATACGGAGTAATTATAAGGATTGAGATCCTCTGTCATGCGGCAGTAGTGCTGTGCGGCAACTAATGAGCGGATGGGGGAAAGGGCGCCTCGAGATGTCGACATCCAAGATTTGGCGTCATTGGTTTTTTGGTTTTTTGATTGGGCGACCCCTATGAGCCGAACACCCTACCTTGCTCTAAAGCAAGGCAGAGGTTCCGGGTCTATAATTATAATTGTCCAAGTTGAGCATAGAAAAATATAAAAATGGAAACATCTTAATTAAAAGATAAGGTAAGACTCTGTATTATAATAATACCAAGGGCACAATATTAACGAATTGTTAGCTAGGATTATGTTTGTATTTTCCAAAGGATTATGTTAATATATATAGTGCATTATTCCCTTTGTCCCGTTTCAATTATTGCGGCTAGTATTCTAGTAGGTTTATTGACTATTTTAATGTCAAATTTTATATTTTTATACGGAGTATGTAAAACTTTTATCATAGTTGGATTATGTATATGTATTTTCTATCATTTCTGATTTGTGTTTATGTCATTTAATAGAATCTATAATTTAATATAATCTATGAGTATGTAAATTCTAATTATGAAAATTAATCCAAAACTTGTTCCGGAAGGAATTATCAAAATGTAGATAGCCTCCATTTTTTCCAAGTAGGTATAATTACTCTAATTTTTTAACATACGTTTTAGTACTAGTATTATCTTTATTTATTTACTATGGGCGGATATTCAATTCCAAAATCGTGTGCCCACCATTGTTACTCGCAACTAATTTTGCTATTTATAATTTATGATGATTAACTAATGGATAATGGTATTTAAATCTAATAATATTTAAATTAAATAAAGTGTCCTTGATTTGACTATTTGAGTGAGGTTGTGGAGTTTGCCTAAATAGGAATAAAATTGGTTGTGTCCCTGAATGCGAGTACAAATTTTCAGAAATATGAGTAAATGTTATCATATCAAAATCATATTGTTATTATACTAAAAATTAAAATTAGTATTGTGATATTGTAATATTAATATCTGAGAATGTCACAATATAAAATATGATAGTTGATTTCAAGCAGAGATGCAATTAAGTAATTTCGTATTTCGCTGAAATATCATAAGTAATTTTCGTTTTTCGCAGAAATATAAGTGACTATTTAATTCGAGAAATCACCTTGAAGTTTTCTTTATCATTAATATTTTTTTACCAGTTTATCATTAATATTTAAAGAGGCGTTTTTTAAAAAAATGACATAAAACTTATTTATAAAAATCTGACTAAAGTCCAAAGTAAAGTTAAGATGAGTAAATTGACATGGTCATGTAAATGTAAACATGGTCATTTACATTTATGATGCCACAATGTAAAGCACCATTTATTTAATTCATAAATACTTCCTCCATTCTTTTTCAAATGTAACAATCCACTTTTCACGTTTGTCAACGCACAAGTTTGACCATTAATATCTTTCACTCCATATTAGTAAAAAAATAAAAAAAAAAATAGATTTTGAAAATTTAAAATGAGAGGAATTTAACATTTTTTTATAATATAATTTATAATACATTAGTAAATAAAATAGAGTCAAAGTAGAGCATGTGACTAGTGGAAAAAGTCCAATATTACATTTAAAAAGAATGTAGGGAGTATGTAATTATTTCATACGGAGTATTTGAAAGTTAGATAATTGGGAATTAAAAAGTGATCTACAGTGTAAAAACTAAATTTGGACTGCGTAGCAATTTATACGTAACCATTAAAATAATAGAAACAATTATGTCTACCACATTCAAATAATCTAATTTAAAGTAGCATCTACTATACGAGCCAACCTTTTATTTTTCCGGGCTATATTTTAGTACAGACGTATAAATTAGGTATGGAGGTTGAATTCAAACTTTGGAGTTCTGATGTCTGAATATTAGAAGAGTCATATTCGTTGTATGTAATGATGCAATTTTAAAAACCTTTATTACAAATGTTTTATTAGCTTAAAAACGACGTTAGCATATCATGTTTAGGGGTCTTATTAGCATATCATATTAGAAGAGTCAAGTGTTTCATTACTCGTTTCAGGTTTCTTACATTTCTTTTTCCCGTGCAACGTAAGTTAAGGGGACTGTTTGGGTCACGTAAGCTGTGTGACCGGAAGCAATATTTTAGGTGCAAAAAAATCGTTAAAGGAAAATTGCTACAAATACCAATTTTAAGGATGTTTTCTTTTGGACTGAAATTTGCTGGTTTGGTCTGGTCTGATCTGGTCGGGTCTGGTTTGGTTTGAACTGGTCTGGTCTGGTAAACGTATGACCTCTGTGTATTTTATAACTACAGAAGTCTGGTCTGGTCTGGTCTAGTCTGGTCTAGTCTGGTCTGGTCTGGTCTGGGACTGAAAACAGTCCAAAAGAAAACATCCTAAGTTTATACTATCTTATATTCCAAACAAGAAATCCGGAAATTAGTGTCGGATTTTAGTGTCGGTCTGCATATCTGACAACAATCAGTGTCGGAACTTAATGGCAGAAGTTTATCGGCCAGTAATTTGCGGCGGAAACGGATCGCCACTAATTTGTAGCGGATTTTGTGTCGGAATTATTCAGCCACTAATTAGTGTCGGATTTTTCCGCCACTAAAATTAGAATGAAGTACATATACACCACAAACGAGTGACACATCATTCCACACACCCACATCTTATCTTCATCTCTCTAAAATATGGATCTGGACGGGATGTAAGGTTAGAACTCTGACTTTTACTATTTCTAATTTTCTTATATTAATTAATTAGTTATATATAATGCTATCCTTAAATATTTGAACTAAATATATGATATCCTGTTTTTTTGTTAAATATACAAATTATATTGATTTTTAGAAGTCCTTTTTTTAAATAAGTTTTGTTTATTACTCCATCTTTTAGAATTTGTTATATCATGTTGTTGAATAATTTATTATATAAACTAATTTAAAGATTAATAGTCCTTTTGGTAGATTTAGGTAATGTTTGGGAAAAATGGCCCATTTCATTAGTGATAGTAAAAAATAGATATTACTTTAGTTGTTAATTCATGTTTTTATATTTACATAAAATATGATGAATTTTTAATGTTAGGTTAATGTGAAGAGTGTGTAAAAACAATTATTTCTTTTTAGTATATGTTCAACAAGTGAATGTGTATGTATGATAGTTTGTTGATTTTTTAAAATATAGAGATTGTGGGCCCTAGTTTGAGTAATTTAAATGATAAATATAAATGAAAATTTTAATTTTGTTATTAGTTAAGAAATATAAACAAAAAAGGTTGATGTTTCATTTACTGTTTAAAAATAATAATTACATTTTAAATAGTTCTTATAAATTTTTAGTGATATTCCCTAAAAAAAAGTATTTAGTCATATGAATCAATAATATTGTGTAATACTATATATATCTTGTATAGGTTTTACAATGAGTTATGGATGTATAAAAGGTTTGCAAGACGAGGAGTTCTAAATGAAGAAGTTAAGGAAGGAGTTACCGAATTTATCCAAACTGCGGTAAACTTATATCAAAGTGGTGTTATTGCATGTCCTTGTAGAAAGTGTAAGAACAAAAAGTGGATGACATGGGATATTGTTAGGGAGCATTTATTTGAAAAAGGTTTTGTGGAAGATTATTATGTATGGGAGGCACATGAGGAGCCACATAATTCAAATGGATTAGTTTATTTGGATGAAAGTAGCTCAGCTCATGGCAATACATCTGAAAGGCAATATGATCCGTACAAATCAATGTTTGAAGATGCAATAAGGAATGAACTCCCAACGGGATTTGATCACGGTGAGGGTGCAGATGAACCTTGTCCTATCACAACACAAATGTACGAAATGTTGGATACAATGAGTCAACCGTGTTTCGATGGCTGTCCGGTGACGCAGTTGAGTGCAATGACAGAAATGCTGAATTTAAAGACTGAGATGCATTTATCAGAGGCTGCAACGGATAGAATTTCTCAATTCGTAAATAGGTTTTTCCCATCAAGCATCCCAAACAAACCAATTCCAAATTTCAACAAAATCAAAAGAAAACTATCTGTGTTAGGAATGAGCCATCAATCCATCGACGGTTGCCCGAACGGGTGCATGATATATTGGAGAGCAGATAGTGAGTTACTAGAGTGTAAATTTTGCTCAACTGCAAGGTATGACATTAGCAACCAGTCAAATAAATGTATTCCACTTGCAAAAATGGAGTACTTTCCTCTTACTCCTAGGCTACAACGACTCTATGCTTTAGCTACTACAGCAGATGATATGAGGTGGCATAAATTTCACCACAGTGAGGAAGGAGTAATGTCCCACCCGTCGGATGCAAAAGCGTGGATTCATGTTAATAATGTTAATCCAGAGTTTGATGTAGATCCGAGAAATGTGAGACTTGGTCTATGCATAGATGGGTTCCAACCTTTTGGTCAATTTGGACAACAATATTCATGTTGGCCTGTGATTGTGACACCATATAATTTGCCTCCAGGTATGTGTATGAAACAAGAATTCTTTTTTTTTGAAGGTACAAATGGTGTCAATGCATATGCTTTCAAAGATAATGTTATCAATACATTAAGTATGAAACAAGCATTCTTATTTTTAACTATATTAGTTCCAGGACCAAGGAATCCAGCGAAAGGGATCGATGTGTACCTGCAACCACTGGTAGAGGAGCTTAAGGAATTGTGGGAGGTTGGTGTCACAACATATGACGTAGTTTCAAAGCATAACTTTAATATGAGAGCGATTTTGCTATGGACGATTAGTGATCTTCCAGCATATGCCATGTTATCAGGATGGACCACAAAGGGAAAATTTGCATTTCCATATTGTACTGAGTTTACCGAAGCATTCTGGCTACCCCACAGTAAGAAGCATAGTTGGTGTGATAACCATATGAAGTTTCTACCAGGTGACCATCCATTTCGGTTTGATGAAAATAACTTTACTAAAGGTAAATCAATCTTGTATGGTCCTCCGATCCACATGAATGGGTTGTACTGTTATGACGAGGTAAATGATTTTATGTCAGTTACTGAATTAGGTGGTGTAGAGCATAATGCAGTTGCTGGAAAAGATATTAGATGGAAGAAGCGTAGCATCTTTTGGGATCTCCCATACTGGAAGGATTTGCTCATACGACACAACCTTGATGTCATGCACATAGAGAAGAATTTCTTTGAAAATATCTTTTATACAATTTTGGGAGTACCAGGAAAATCGAAGGATCATACGCAAGGGACAATAGATATGGAACAAATTTGTCATAGGCCAAGCATGGAGAGAGAATCTCGGGGGAAATACCCTAAAGCTCGTTTCACCCTTTCAAATGAACAAAAAGGTGTCTTGATCAACTGGATTGATTCATTAAAGTTCCCAGATGGTTTTGCTTCTCGATTAGGGCGTTGTGTGCAAATGGACAAACTTAAGGTATTTGGTATGAAGAGCCATGATTGTCATGTCTTCATGCAACGCCTACTTCCAGTTGCTTTCAGAGAGATGCTACCTGATTGGATTTGGGAGGCCATTACGGAGATTAGCTTATTCTTTCGTGAGCTAACAAGAAAGACTATATTGGTCCGTGACATTGAGAAGTTAAAGGAAGATATCCCCGTGATCATGTGCAAGTTGGAGAAGATTTTTCCACCCTCATTCTTTGATCCTATAGAACATCTTGTTGTGCACTTACCAGATGAAGCTTGCTCGGGGGGCCTCCACAATATCGATGGATGTATCGTTTTGAAATGTAGATGTTAAAACATATTATATAGTCATATGTTTTTTTACTTGATATCTTATTTCTTACCATTTTTGTAGTTTTTCGGGATCAGTGCTAAAGACAAAAGTTGGAAATAAAGCTAGGGTTGAAGCATCTATTAGGGAAGGTTATTTGCAAAGTGAAATGGGAACATTTGCAAGCTATTACTTTCCGGAGGATGTAACCACAAAAGCACATCGTATCCCCAGGTTTGAAGATGGTTGCATGATTAACACTGATTTTAGTGTTTCATTTTTTGCACAGAAGGCAAAAACAATTGGTGCAAGCACGAGGCGGTATATGGATCAAAATGAATCCAATGCTGTCCACTCATATGTATTCTAAAACTGTCCGGAGATTGAATCATTCAGAGAGTAAGTGGTTTAATATTTAAATTACACACATACACATATATGTGAAATGTGGTTTAATATTTTTTTCGATTTTATTACAGAATGTTCTTCAACACAACAAGGTCAACAAGTTCCTATGATGCCTTGTTACAAACAAAATTCCCTCTTTGGTTTTATCACCATGTGAGATTTTATAGTTAATTATTTCTTAAAAAGGATATGCTTGTGCTGTTTATGTTTAGGTGCAAAATGACATGACCAATAATCCCCGGTGGGTTCGTGCTTTATCTGGGTTTCCTTCTACCTATGTGACAACCTACCAGGCACTTAATATAAATGGTTATAAATTCAACACTATTACAAGATCTCATGTTAGAACAACCTCCAACTGCGGGGTTATGGTCAAGTGCACAAGTTATGATGGATCAACACTCGAATACTATGGCTCAATACAAGAAATAATTCAGCTGGAATATCAGGATTACAAAATAATTGTCTTCAAATGTGAATGGTTCGAACCTTCAGATAGAGGTGTATGGGTCCATCCACGATACAAGATCGTGGATGTGAACAGTCAATTTCGACTTCGTACGTTATTCAATGCATGTCGCGGGCTTTTGTGGAGAAATAAGAGGGAGGGGATCAGTTGATGTGTATTGTTTTGACTTTTTGCTGTGTGACTTGTTTTGACAAAGAAGAGAATCAACAGGTGGCATTATTAATACCTTGTAAAAGAATGGACTTTTTGCTGCGAGAATATGAGAGCTGATGTGTATTGTTTTGACTGTTCTAACCCTTGAATCCATGAATTTATTAATTTTTGTTATCTATTATACTTGATGATTTACTTGATTCTTGGTGCTTTAAAGGGTGCTACTTCTATAAATAAAGAAGTTCTAACATGATTCCGACAAAAGGATTTGGGGCCGCCATGCTAAATAGGACAGGAGCTAACAAAACCCAAGAAAAAATCGGCAGCACAAGTATCTCAAAACAACCAGCAAGTCACAGTCACTCAAGGTCATCTACCCCGTTTGCAGTGAACAGAAAAAGTACATCCTGGCCAGTCGGGCAAAATAGGCAAATTCTCCAACCGCCTCCGTCCCAATATAGCCAGTCTCATGGTCTGAGAGATACGAAGTCAGCCACAAATAACCAACAACATGTAATTCCAACACTCCAAAACCTCGAACCATTATCCAATGAGAATAATTCATCAACACCTGAAATTGGTGAGGATCCACTAGAAGACAATGCTGCCACACACATTTCAAATGAAGATACCGAACAGTATCCCAAAGAATGGAAGCCGGAAGTATACGCTCATCTTAATTGGGGGGAATCACCTCTGGACCCTTTCAGACCTGTATCAGTTGCACAATTTGAAAAGCCCAATGTTGGTGTAAATGCAACCGGGAAGTGAGTTTCAGTGTTCACCATCACTGTTTTTATACTTTTTTAACTTCAATCTAACTAACTCACTTAATTAAAATGCAGCCTAACAAACATAGTTATCAACCAAAGAAGTTTGAGATTCCATATAATTGTGGGTAAACAGATTAGAAGATGCCTTCCCGATTATATGCACATTATATGTGCGCAGTATAACTTTATTTGATATAAAGATTGACTTGTCACTAAAATTCAACTAGTAAATTGTGACAAATTTACATGTACACTTTCTGTACCAAATAAATTGCACTGGAAATATAAAAAGCAATAAGGTAATTTTTCTTTACCTTAAAAGGATATTTAAATCCTACCAGTACAAAATTATTTGATACAAAAAGACTGAAGTCACAAATTTACTAAGTCCACAGTATCTACAAGAGCACGGGACACTACACACGCAGAGATGCATGCAAAGCCAAAACCTATAAGTAGGTGAACAGTGCGTAGAAGGCCTAAGGTATGAGTTCACATATCCTACTTGCAAATTGATCCAATTGCAGCTGAAGAAGATAATCTGCTCCAACACAAGAAGACGAAAGTACAATACTTTGGACGTCAACGATTAAAACCTCTCAACCAACGGAGGAGATTAATCAACCGGAGATGCCTATAAATAAAGGCATAAGCATGAGTTCATATTCAAGCTTTGAGAGTCTTCTAATCAGAGAAATCATACTAAGCATTCAAAGAGATACCTAGCAAAAGAGAAAGTGCTCGTTTAACGTTGCTCTCTGTTTAGACTCATGTTTCACTAAACTTCCTAGTTAGAATTCTCATTGCCATATTTTGGAAGTTTAGTTCTTAGTTGGAGGCTAGAAATTGTGTTACATTTGAAAATGTTGTAAACACTTAGAAGGACAGTGTTATCTAGTCCTAAGTGTGGTAGAATAGAATAGAGTACCTTTTGATCCCCACTGGATCAATTGAGAAAATCTAAGGAATGAGTAACTTGGAGTGGTGTGTACTCCTAATGAAACACCTTTAGGTCTGAGCTTGTTGTGTGATAACAGCCAGACGGGCACCAAGTGTATTGGGCTTAATACTTTAGTGGAAATCCATCTGAAAGAGAGTGGGACTGGATGTAGGAGGATTACACCACCTCTGAACCAGGATATATTATGTGTTGATTCATCTTCAGTCAACAAAGCACACATCAAACACTTCTTCAACTTAGCAGAAACGTGATCAGTAACCTCAGCAGCAGTCTACTGCCCACTCCTCTGCTCACCTCTCTGCTAAGCATACATCTCAATGCTTTAGAAGTCTTCTTCACTTTTCATTAAGATCTCTTTCTTAAAACAGAAGTCTCTAAGTTATACTATCACCTTCAAAGTGCAATAGAAGACCTCGTGAGAGATTCTGTTTTGAGGCCAACAGAAGGCCTCGCGAAGGGTTCTTTCACGAAGACACCAGAACACCATACCAAGGTATTCTGGTTGAGACCTTCTATCCGGAGCATCTCTGCCACCAAGCACCTCTGTCTCTGAAAATAAGGAACGTTCATTTTACCTCACTCTAACACTTCACTTAGGTTCCTTTGAGATCATAAAACTTATCTGACCATCTCTCAAACTTCTCCTTGTCCACTTACTAATAGAAAGTTGTTATATGCATAGAGGTCTAGACTTCCGCTGTGGATCTTTAATCTCTCAAAAGGTTATTGACCATCATATCTGGTAGGGAAACTTCTTAAAGTTGAAAAAGCTTTAAAAGTCTATTCACCCCCCCCTCTAGACTTTTACCTCTATCTGGGACCATCAGATGGGGTCTGGTTGTATACCATCAAATCTTTGCATGTATTTTGAGTAGAAGAAGTAGACTGTGTGTTCATATTTGTTGTGTCATTTGTAATAACCCCCTTCCCTTTCTCTTCTGCAGTAAACCTTACCTGCTTATCTCTTGTATTCTTCTCCACCCACCTTTCTTTAGGTACTGACTTAGGCATAGGATTTACCTTGGGTAACATGACTGCCTTAGGAGCCTCAACATTACGTTTAGGACATTTATCTTGTGAATAACCTAAATGTAGGCAGAAAGAACAATACCCCTGCCTATGTTCATAGATAATTGGTTGAGCAAATCCAAAATTCCCACAGTTTATCCAAAACTTTTGCGGCATCACTTGAGTAAGATCTAGTTCAATGCACACTCGAGCCACATACGGCCTAGATAAATTAGTTGTAGTCGAGTCAATCTTCAAGGGTTTCCCAATCAAACCCGCAATATCGAAAAGAGCCCTCTTGTCCTGTAGATGAAGGGGCAAACCCTCCAAAGCAATCCAAACCGGCACCACCGGTGACTCAACATTCGGGCGAAAATCTGGGGTCCATTTGGTCACCCTCATCACATAGCCATGAATGTTCTAGCTTTGTCGATTCCAACATCTGAAATAATCTTCATCCGAATCAAACCGAATCACAATATGTTTTCGTTCCAGCACTCCTAAATGGAAAGATCCTTTGAAGCCAATGATCTCAAAGCCTTTCCTGATCAACTCCAAGCTTGGTCTGCCTCTGTAGAAGTACCCTATTAAGGATCTCTTATGCCTCTCTGCCAAAATGCTGATATCACTCTCCGGGAAGGTGACTGCAGGCATCCCCTTATGCTTCTATGGAATCTTAATCGATAGTGTGCCTTGAGGTTTATTCGCAACAACGTCGGCAAATGATTTGCCTGACCAGACATTGATCGGTGGAGGCGGCGGCTCTGCCACTGGATCCGAGGAAGTCGCCATCTCTTAACCACTCAATCCCAATTGTGCTCAATGTAGTTTAGTTAATAGAGTTGATAACTTGATAAGTATTTAATCGATTCCTCTTGTAGTGAATGTCTTTTTTTTTTAACAAAAATATATAGTTTGTTATGTACGTATGTTTGAAACTTAAATTTTGAAGTTTGAAATAATGATAACCTTGAGCATATTTGTATTTCTTATAATTTCAAACGTTAAATGTCTTTATGTGACACAAATTTAATGATGATTTATGGAAGATTTTAGAAATTTTAAGAACAAAAATATGATTAATTCTACAAATAATTTATAAGAACAGGAAAAAAGATAGATCGTCTCCTCTCTAGGGCTTCGGCCGCTTGGAGTCTTTTTCCGTCTTCGATTTTAATCGAAGGACGGCTGCTTTTTCTGTCTTCGATTGTAATCGAAGGACGGCCGCTATTTCCGTCTTCGATTTTAATCGAAGGACGATTGTTGTTGTTTGTGCTTCGTCCTCGAAGGGCGGATTTGTTGTCATGGCTCGAGGTGATCGGCGTTGTGGTCAAGGTTCGAGGATGATGCATTGTTGTCGTCGTTGGAGAAGATCGGCGCCGCCTATCCGTTTACTCTGGTTGCATGGGGCAGGGATGGGTTTGGTTATGCAGGGACGGAGGATTGATGTCTGGCCTTTGGCTGCCAAAGGTCACGGAGTATCAATTAGCATGGTACCGGTGGTAAGACCTCCTCCTGAACCACCACCATGGGATGTACGAGGTGCTAGAGTTCGTGAATGCTTTTCTTGTAGTTTTTATCTGTTTGTTATTTGTTTTCTTGTGTCCACTTTTGTTGTTGGGTTTGACAGTTTGTTTGAGTTTTTTTGTCTCTCTTTATGTCATTGGGTATGGTTGGATCTATGAGAATAGGTTTGGCTGTGTCAAGCCCACTACATGGTTAGCGATTCGTGTTGCTCTCTCAGGGGTGACCGTCTCAACTCTCAAAGTCTCACCATAGGATTACAGTCGTAGTTGTTGAAGTTTCAGTTGGTGTCAGTTTTATTTTCCTTTTGCTTGATGTAATGATCCTGAATCTTTTGATATGAATAGAGGTCCGTTTGACGATAAAAAAAAGAACAGAATCCACAATAAAATTTGTTCAATGAAACAAAAATGTTCCTCGATCTAAACAAAAATGTTTGCAAGTACCAGATTAAAAGACTGCTAGGGGTTTCATATGGGCTACATTAACTTTTCGTCCGGCGACCAATCCGCCGGAGAGCCTCTGCCGAATGTGGAAGTCGGCTCGTGCTGAAAGTTGTTGACGTCAAAGCTCAAGGTATTCCGTTTATTTGTGCTAACTGTCATCTCCTTTGCTCCAAATTTAGAACCTCGTTTTCGGAATTAAATTTCTGAAAATTTTATTTTACTTTCCCGCAATTAGCTAGAATTTTGTCAGCGGGAGATTTGATAAAATGACTATAAAAGTTGGAAGGAGTTAGAGAAGAACATATCTTGGATTCTTGGAGACATACAGAATTTTCCAATTCGAAAAAAGATAGATTTTTCTGCTTCCAAATTTCGACTTCCAAAAGGGAGTGTGTATTCCGCCCCAAATTTCAACGGCAGTCAACCACCGAAAACATGGCCGCAAATTTTTTTGCCCGGAGAGAATTCAACTTTTGCTTTTCGTCTTGAACTCCGCCATAAAAACGAAGAAATAACTAAAAGATGATAAAGTGGAATTGAAGAAGAAGGGGAATTGGCTAAAAACTGAAATATGAAATACTCCAGATAAAAGTGTGGTCAAATTGCAAATAAGAGAATGACTAAATTCTTAAACAGGTGACATGTTAAGTTGTTAACTGAATTCAACATACTTAACCTTACTACGTACCAAAACATCATACAATGAGGATGTACCCCATTCAGCGACCCCTAGTTTTATTACCTCGACCCAATTAAATCTCAAAACCATTGCTAGTTTTGTGATGTATTGAGTGAAGATGTATTTGTTGTTTTCAATGTGAGTCTATGCTTTCTTTTATGTGAAACTTTTTTGTGGGCATCTCTTATCTTGAAGAGAAGATTTTATAAAATATGCCATGAAGGTGCTTGTTAAAAGTCTTGAAAGGTAACTTTTTTGTGTTTTCATTAATTTTTGAGCTTTATTGATTTATTTTCCCACTGGGTTTAGATTACAATTACAAAAGGTGTAAGGGTAAAGTATCAGGTGTGTGTCTATTGTTGTGGTCAAGTACTTGATGGTGGAATGGTCTTCAATACTTTCAAAAAGATATTCAAGATATAATATATGGTTTAGTTCGTATTATTGCTTGTCATGTAAACTAAAATTCATCTAGAATATATGTTTTTCAAGTTTATGTATATTCTACTCCCTCCGTCCCATTAAAAG